GTTTTATGAACAATAATGCCCGGAAAAACATGCTGTTACTGCACGGGATGTCACATCACTTCCTGTGAATTAAAAGACGATTAATAGCCGCACTTCCTTGTATTAGCTAGATGTCGACATTATGTGTATTTGATAGACGAAGGTGTTGACATATTTTCTCTTTTATCATTTGGCCTTGAATAGTGTGTGAAATCTCTCTCTCTCTCTCTCTCTCTCTCTCTCTATATATATATATATATATATATATATATATATCGCTATAAACATGACATACACAAATGGCCGCATATGGTGCCTTCTCCCTTGACACTCCCTGTTTTTATCTTCGTAGTTCTTGCGAAACCGCTATTTTTTTTAGGCGGGGAAAATGTAAACATAAATCGTACAAAACAACACGTGTACATTATCTTGTTTAAAAAGGAAACACAAGCAAAACATTACGAGGTTTCTTAGATGTACCAACGCACCATGATTTGCGGCGATTGTCGTATATGGCTTCCGTTACCGCAGGTTCTGACATTTCTAGCGATAATCTAAATGTACATACTAGTGTTCAGACAATCTACTTGCAAAAAAGAAAAAAAAAATTAGGCAATAGGAAAAATGCTTACCATTGGGGTAATGGAGTAGAATGAGAAAGTGAGCAGACATAAAGTGTCGAATCATGTGACAAGGTATTCTGATAGATACATCCCCCACTAATCGGCTTGAAATTTGCTCCATACGTCTGACTGTGAGGCAAATGGTACAAGTGATGACAAAATCAGCGGAGAAGCAAAAGTAATTTTACTTCTCCGTGTTGTTCCCGCATGTGGCCAATTGAGATATAAGAGTGATGGTAATAGCAACTCCGTCTGTAATTTCTAGGTACCAAGGAGCTTAAAAAATGAAAACAACACAAGGAGTGACCGGAATAACTGTGGTTTCTTTCCTTCTTCCCACTGTGCAGCTTCCACGCTGATTGAATCCCTCTGAGTTTCAGGGCAACTTCTTTTCCTTATTTGTAAGACAAGATCAGAAATGGCTAATAACACCATCTAGCATGATCGAGTGTGCAGAGCATATTCCTCTGACACTCGGAGTGAATAATAAATAAACTCTTGCCTTGGCTTTGATGATTCACCATTAACGCAGATAGTCAGAGAGAGAGAGAGAGAGAGAGAGAGAGAGAGAGAGAGACGTGAAAAAGAATAAACTGGCTTAAGTCAAAAATCGGTCTTAACATGCGTAGAATAATTAACCAACTAAGTTGAGTTTTACAATGAATCTTAAAGACCGCTTCTCTGCTTTGATTTGGTCTGTTGTGATTGTCTTGACAACGTTTTTTATACAGCGGGTACAAAGAGCCTTTTCAGACTAATATTGGTGAATCGTTCTTCAAATGCTCGCGAAAAATGTTTGTAAAAAATACGAAAGCTTCTGTATATAAGGTATGATAAATGGCACAAACGCTGCATGTACATTTACATTAAGAACACTTCCCAAACCCAATGCCCATTGAAATGATAAATGCTCAGATATAAGCCCGGTGTAAAGAATTCATCTCCATTAGATTCACATTTATTTATATTGGACTTCATCGCACGGTAAAAATAGTGTCTTTTGGGGATAAAAATACTAACTTCTGAGCCCTAGACAAACAACCTCTCTCATTTTAAGACAATACACACATGTATTTAAATGTCTGTGCCATACCCGAAAATGAAGAGGACATATAAAAGTTTCAGCGTCTCTGATACAGTCTCACTGAAAAAATGGACGTTTTATGTTCCCTCGTTAACTGTGCAGAGTATGAAATTACACTGAAATTACATTGCTGTATGAACTGAAGCAAAACCTTACAATAACTGCGACGCCTGCCAGCACTGGTCTCTAGCGAGGAGCGGTACATGGCCTATAAAAAATTGCATCATATCCCAAAAATAGAAGGAACGGTACTAAAGAGATCCGTTGCAGAGGCCGTGTTCTACCGGGTAAATTTATACATGAGCAGTGCAGATGACGCTGTTCTACGTACTCTTTCCTTTTATTCATAACAAGGGACGCGGTATCACTTCAACCCACTATACTCCTGTCCACATCAGGACGTCGCTCAGGGACGCTGTGACTTCCTAATTATACGTCACGTGACCGCAGACATTTGCCCGAGTCTCGGAAGTTTTTTAGACCTCGTAATGACTCCTCCTGGGAATCGGTATTTATCATTTGACTTTTTCCATAACAGCAACAACAACAAAATACACATGTAGTAAAAACACGTGCCTGATGTATATTTTCTTCTTTTGTTAATTATAGGATAAGGAGCTGTAAGGCAAAATGAAGTATTTGCCCTTTATGGGTGAAGCATTTTACTCAAGAAAACAGTAAACAAATTCTTCGTGTTCCGAAATAACAGTGTGTCTTGTCTTGCTACATTAGTGACATCTTTGGGCGGTGACGCATGATCGCATTCTTTTAAGATTATGTCGAAACAGTTAAATTAAGTATAACCTCACATTATATAGTGCTATAAATAAACCTATGACAAAAAGAGCGTTGACCTGTCTCACGTGGATGAGACGCTTGTCTTTCGCAGCAAACTACATCACTTTGTGGCAACTGATCACTTCATTGTCTTCATATCGCTTCCTGCTCACCTTCACTTATACGACTTCGCAACGACATTCTTTAAAACATGTGGCAGTGTGTTTCCATCTCGAGGTGCCATCCTCAGTGACGTGAAGCGGGGCTATCAACCGTCTATTGTAGCATTAAGTCATTCAGCCGTGATCGTCAGTGGCACTCATAAGGGCCTACTGGCTTATATGGTAGGCCCTATTCTCGTTTTTGTGAACTAGGCCTACATATCGAACGTAAAACTTAATATGATTTATGACGTTTGTGTAATTAAAAAATATAACTTCCACGACATTTCACTTTGGCATCGACATACCACGAGGCTGTCGCGTCTCTAGTGACATGCTTGTGATGCATGTCCATCAAGGGCGGATCCAGAGATATTTTTTGACAGCCTTCAAAATTACTTTGTTGATCTATCCTCAATTTTTGATCGTCTTCCGTCAGAAAAATTAAAAAATTATATACCCATCAATGTAAACTTGAAAAGTTTCACCGTCTTCCGGAAGACCCAGAAGCCGCACTCAATCCGCCCATGCCCATGACCGCCCGTGTCAATCAATTTTACCCATGGTTCGCATGCCACTAGTATTAGTGTATTCATGTATTATAAATATAATATACATGTAGGCCTACTTATAGATATTCATGGCAATTATAAAAATCGGAATGAACGACAAGCGAATGGTTTCTGCACGTGCCCATTATTGTAAAAATACAAAGAAATCTGAGAAAAAATACAAAAAAATCACAGAAAAAATGTCTGAGACAATATATATCACCAGCACTAATTAAATCAGAATCTATAAATGCTATTTTTTAACACGGGGCTTCCTACCACGTGAATATAAAGCCAGACGAAGGCTTGCGATTAGTCTAGATGTCAACGCTTTATTTTTGTCCACTGGTGGTTAGATTTGAAGACTTTAGACTACAGTGTATGTTTAGAAGGTCTCCTCAACCAGAAGTCAGTGGGGTGATGACGTAAGTTCTGTGCAAATTTCCTCGCTGGAGAGCACAGAAATAAGCCAGAGAAATATCTGGTGAAAAAATCTCTCTGGGGTCCTGGTAGAGGGTGGTAGGAAGCAGCGCTTCTGTTCCTAGCAACACATTTGTGATTAAATCTCCTTATGACAAAATTTACCCTGTACTTTTAAGATAAACCGTGTGCATTATACAGTGGCGTCGAGAGACTTTATTTCAATCACTACAACGCAGTTTCTGGTATTGAGATATAAAAATTTCAGGATGTTTACATCAAATTCTTCCCTCACATTTGATGTGAAGTCCCGGGAGGCGGTACAACAATTAAAAATAAATCAATAAAGACAGGATACACCTTTTTTGGGTTGCTGATATCTAAGTATATCTGAGCGCGTCTTAATATCGATGAGAATTCTTAGAAACTGGGTAATTAGATCCCTGGATGTATTCCCGTGATTTCACAGATGTTCTTTAATCATGTGAGTTCAGACGGAGAAATTAGGTTCAGCGAGTGAGAACCCTAGATTTAACGCCACAACGGGTCCCTGTCAGAGATTAATAAAGCGTTACTTTTGATCCAGACCTTGAGTGCAGGAATTAATACTGGGAACGGTTATATACAACAGTAAGACTTTTTATGTTGGATAAGCTCATAAACACGTTGATTTTTTTACCTGAGGGTTTCGTAATTGACCAGTCCATTAGACCACGTGTTCTGATGGCGGTCAATTAATGTAGATTTTTTTCTGAACACCAAGCATTAGCATTGGTTGTTTTAATAGTCCAAACTGGATCTGACTAAGCATTTCTTCTTGCATAAGAGTAAATGTCCCTCTACGCAACTGAATAATAATTGCAAGATAAGATTTGTGCATGAACTCTGTTAAGGGCAATGGCTCTGCTCCCAATTGCCTTTCTTAGGGGAAATGGCGCATCACTTTCAGTCCTTTGGAAAAATTGGTGTCAAATATGTGTGGCAACTTAAAGATTTTTTTTTTTGAGAAATCGATGCCAAGAAAGATGCTTATTCAATCGAGGATCCGTAATAAGATTTGGCAAAGAGCTCTGTTGAGCGTAAGAATCTCAGATTAGGGGTGATGATCGACGCGTCATTTTCACGTCGTTGTTTTGTAGTTTGATGCCAAATATGCATCTTTCATTTTTATAACGATATCAAGAAAATGCCTTTTAAATAAAGAAATCATTTGGCAAGGAGCATTCTCCAGAAGTGCAATAGGCGAATAGCTGTATTTTTTTTATATCTTATATTTCCTTTTAATTTTACTATTATTTTCAATGTATATTTCATTCGAAGGAGGAGAACTTTTGGCCAATTTCCCCTGACCATCATTGCACACAATGATCATATTAATGACGCTCTAAACCGCCTTTCATTCCAGTGGACAACAGCCAGACGTCAATATCAGTCGTCCTTAATGGGGAAGAAGCCGAGCTTGTGTTTATTAATCCATCAAAGGCTGAGGTGAGTGGCGTGTTATGGAATAATAATAACCTGTAATGCATCATTCTCTCTGTTTGTATGCCCATTGAAGGCAATGGATGGTAAACTGATTTAAATTGCCCTTTTTTGTCCTTTATGCACGGTCCCTTGACAGAACAAGTAGCTGAGACTGAGTTTACATTCACGGAATGGTGCTACTCTGAGAGCGGTCCGATCAACTAATGAAACCTACGTTCTATGCACGTAGATTGATGTAACTCATAGGGGACTATCGCGAAATGCAATCAGTTTAACAAATTAATACGCCTCCTCCTGGTGTTGAATATCTATACCGAGAAGCTGGTGATTGCATGAGTGCGTTGTAAACAAGAGGAGGCGTGTTAATCTGTTAATCTGATTGCATTTCACCGAGAGTCCCCGCGGAGTTGGATCTACATGAACCGATAGTTTTACTGGGAATAAGCCTTAAGTCCACCATCGGCGACACAAATAAGCTTTATTGCTATGAGGGGATTCACAACAGATGATCCTCGGATCTACTGATCCACGGATCAAATATGGCGTACCCGACTAATCCACTGATGGTACAAAATGTATCCCCGCCTCCACACGCGCCGTCCTTGCAGGGGTCTAACAATTAAACCTGGAAGCCGTGATTTAATCCGTTCAGTGGCGCGTGCGGAGGCAGGGAGACCATCAGCGGATTAGTCGGCTCTCCTTTCATGTAGGGTCCGCCGTATTCTGTTGTGAATGCCCTGCTAACACTGCTTATAACATTTAGACTAATATTTTAAACTACTCGAATCCAAGACAAATCCGTAGTGGGTCTATCAGAAGTTCATGACCAATTTTCAGGTTAAATACAACTGGCCCCCATTCTTGTTTTTACATGTACCAATGTTACCTTTCTTTTTGACCCTCACAGTATTTTGACTCTGGCCCCGTGCGTAAAAGGTGGTGTCTATATTTTGTTTACAGCAATTTACATCTTGAAACAAAAATGAATTATGTGGCAATATCAGTGTTTTTAACTGATCTTACAGATTCCTTTGGTAACATCTGGAAAAAGGAATCTGTGATTTTATGCATTGCTTCCAGGTGTTAAGCGTTCTGAGCAGTGCGCACTGTCTTTTATCAAAAAATAATCCATAAAAATCTTGTTTTTCTTCATCCGCTCTTAATGGTATATATAAACCCCCTCAGGTTGTAAGCGTGCATATTTTCTAATAGTTCAGCAGATTTGACATTCACTAAGAAGTAATCTCTCTCTCTCTCTCTCTCTCTCTCTCTCACAGACACACATACACACACACACACATACACATACATATACACACACACACACACACACACACACACACACACACGCATTCTTGGACTTCGCTGAACAGGACTGCCGACTACGCAAAATTGTCTTTGCGTTATTAGTTGGCTTATACTTTGCAGCCTACAAAACTGACTTAAGATTTTTTAAAGTTTGCCCCAAGGAATTTTCTTTCAAAACACATGGGGATACCTATCTCAATTCATCTAAACCACTCGTCAGTGCCTGGCACCAATAACTAACATTCAGCTTCTCTTTCTAGAACACAGACTGGCCGAGAGACGTCCACGCCGATGCCTACGTCATCGTGTACGCCGTGTCCAACGAAGACTCGTTCAAGCACGCTGAGCGACTACTTGAAGAACTAAAAAGTGGGCAGACCAAGGACCGGTCTATTATTCTAGTCGGAAATAAAACCGATCTTGCCCGGGGTAGGGCAGTGTCGACAGCCGGTAAGCGCCATGTTTTGTTTAAGAAAATTTTCACAATCGACGTTAAATAATCGACGTTGTGCCATGTGCACATCTGCATGGTTTATACGGTGGGCATTGGCGGCAATCAAGACCGTATCGTGTTCAGCTGATAAACGAGTCACGCACGTTCAATCACTCCGTGTAAACTGGACTTTAGCGGGAGCCGAGACTAAATCACTCAATTATCTCATCTGAGTGTGACATCTAACTGCTTTCGATTATATAGGCTACATGTATGCTGTTTGATTTTTACAAAACATTTTTGACTAACACAGGGATCTAAAATATATCAACAACGTGCCTTTTGATACTGAAACCGCCGCTGGGCAAGCCCAATAACGTAAAGAAAAAAAACTGGCGCCATATCAAGAATTAACCTGAAAAAAAGTCTGCAGGTGAAAAAGACATGCAGTTTTCGTGAGATTAATGGGTTAAACTCGATATATATGATATTCAACACATACTAGTCTATTTCAACATGTACCAGGTAATCGTTTTCAAATGTCATACAGGACTTCGATCGGAAATGAAATATAAGGACATGAAATCTTATTCGCCCCAAGAAAGACCAGGCTCTAACCTGAGACAAAAATGCCTACCGACTTACAGATTAACGAGACACGCGAATAAAAAACATGGCGTGCAGCGTCGTTTATTGTGCCCAAACAGGATATCTGTTGTCTGAAATATTGCGCACATTGATTACAAGTAATGACTATGACATCGAGATTCGTAACTAGCTGACCAGCTTGATTTACCCAATTTGCCAAATGATCCTCAGTACAGGACCTATGAGGATATTTTTCTCATCCCCCTTTAACAAGACGAACTGCCCACGTCATTACTTTTTAACAAATGAAAGTATGTGTTTCGCTTTAGGACATGTTTTTTGGGGAACAACCAAAACAATCGATAATACATTTTAGATAATGAATGCCACAGATATACTCAAAACTAAGGTTAGAATGAACAACCACCTCGTTGTATCTTGGGCGAATTTAGATTAAACCAATGCAGTATAAGACTGACTGCGGCGAAACTACAAACTGCGGTATATGACTCTTACAGTGGTCAGTAAGAAATTCTCATGTCTTTGTTTAAAGTAAATTGCTTTTCCTCCACACACCCCTCATCACAAGGAATAAATAATTTCGATGACAAGATAGATTTTCAATTTAAATGGAGAGACAAAAGTATACTCCTTATTTTAAGGCGGATTTTATTGCCGTTTATGTCTGCCTGTTAAGTAAGTACCGGTATTTGTTGTTATACATAGAGCTAGTAATAACCCGATGCAAGTGGTTTTTCGGACAAGTTTGTCGTTAATCACGATGATTTCCATGGCGTAGAAGATATCCTATGCGAGATTTTTTGCATCACATCCGATTTTTTCTCGAGATAAAAAGCGATTTCTTATACGCAGGAATCACAACCCATCTCTGTGCTAGGATTCGATATTTTTTGGCATTTCTAATCAAATAAGTTCTTAGCTAATCGCGATTCATTTACATGTTCGTCGGACATTTTAGAAAGAATAATTGACATTATGTACTTTTATAGGAGGGTTTCCATCGTTTCTTTGTCTGGATTGTGAAGATAAATGGCTTTGCAGGATAATTTGACATGCAAATGATTTTAGGATACTTTCAAATGTGAATAGTATATCCTCTTAGTACACCGATCTTAACAGCCAAAAATAATTTACAAATAAAGATTTAAAGAAACAAAAGTAACTTTCCAGTATTACATATTCCGAGTCGAAACAGTCTATCGGGAGATACTACATCTGTCTTTCTCTGCTACAGTGAACTTTTATAATGAAAAGTGAACGTCCTCTTAAATGGCCTGGATTATGATTACTGAACGCCTACGTAGCGAACTTTTCCGATAACATTTCATATCTAGGGTCGATTATAAGTATGTACTAATGATCATAGACTTGAATTAGCTTCATTCATTCAAGTTTCCAGTAAATGCATCATTAACCTGTTAGCATGTTAGCGTAATGAACTCAAGTATTTTAGATCGATAAATATGGATATGGTCGTAATTAAATCATCATGCTTCTTTAATTTTTAGCTTTTGGCCAATTGCCACTGTAATGTACCGTACAACAATAGAAATGAAAAAAAAAGTAAAAAATGGAAAAGCAGGAAACATGAATGAAATTTGTCCTAAATAAAGCAACTTACTCACTACTTTGAAGTAATCGGATTGGCTTTTGGAATTTTGAGGACCTGTCCCAACCTTTAAATCGATTCCTTAAATCAATAGGCCTATAATGTACTTAGTACTTAGGCCATTTAAAAAGTAAAAGCCTCAAAGTTACAAAAGTTAATAATCTCCTTCAAGCGTGGAATGGTTTATTTTTAGCAAATAACGTTGCAATTTTTATTCTTTTCAGACGGAAAAGCACTGGCTATGCGATTTAATTCCAAATTCATCGAAACGTCAGCACTTCTGAAAATAAATGCGGACGAACTGCTAGTTGGCATTCTGACACATATACGGCTTCGGGAATTCACGACAGGTGGCGGTACCTACAAGGACAGACCACGCCGAAAGTCTAAATCACCGGTAGATCTCGCTAAAGACTTGTATGATAGACTCACTCTGTCTCCTTGTCGTAATAGACGAAATTCTCACCAAGTTTGCGAAGATTTTAATCTTATGTAAGAACAAGGAAACGGTCAGATGGTAGCATCGGCCAAAAATATGAAACTCAAAATATGTGAACGCACAACAACTTGAACATACGTCTATCGTCTTTTTTTTGGCTGCGGCTAGCAGCGGGAACTGCACATTGAAGGAATATTGGTCCTACTTGAATATCATCAACGTAAAATCGGGTATATATATCACACTCAACGTACCAACCAGCCTGGCCAAAACAGAAACACGTACAGACCAAATGGACAGCATTGTTTTTGTTAAGTAGCGGATGGAACAATCCGAAAAGGTGTTCGTTTTCCTCTCCTTATTGTCGTACTTCTGTAGACTCTCTGAACTGTAATTTTCTCCTTCAGTGGGAAGTTTCAGTGGACGGATCCATGATTTTGTTTTGGAAAAAAAAGGGGGGGGCTCAGTGCCTACTACCACCCCCCCTCCCAGCAACTGCTTGATTAAACTGCCGTAATCGACCTGTTAGTAGACGGTCATGAGGAACTTATTCACTGCTTTATATGCTCATTACTTGATAGAATTCCATTAATAAGATTCCCAAGTTTCTGGGTTGTAAGCCATGAGAGATTTCATTCGCCTTTCTTTTTGACACTGAAACATTGTGGCGCAGTGAAATATAACAATATACATTTGTTTCTGTGCTTCCGTACAGAGTGCAGATCTGATAAATGGCAGACGTTGTCTCTATGGTAATTTAAACGCTATATCTAAGAAAACAAAATAGTTACCTCGCTATTTTTAGCAAGTAACGAGAATTGTGTTTTGCACCAGTGCACATTTTAGTTACATCTGAGCACATTTTTGTAAGTAACAATGTTGTCATGGTATTTGGATACACTAGTACATTCTTTTTTTTTGTTTGAAACAGAACATGCATACCAGTACTAGTAGTGACTAATATTGTCCTGCCAAAAAATGTTCATTGCCAAAATAGGTGCGTCTGACATGTGTGTGTTATTTATATTGAATACTGTCAAATAAACTTTGTTCAAATTTATTTTCAAAAGGGGCACCAAAATGTTATTTGAAATACTAAATAAACGGGCGAACTATAAATTGATTAAAATGGTATAATTTTCTTGACAATTGTTTTCAGTATGGACCTGGTATATGGAGGGCTAACATGAGCGATAGTTTATTCTCATGGCACCCCCTCTTTTTTTTAGTATCCCATTACGGATATTACTTAATTAGTTTATGGTTATTTAAAATGTGTTGTTTTTCATTACGTGAAACACCAGACGTACTGTAATCTTATTTCGGCAGAAGAACCTGTTTTGGTATAACAATATTACCAATCTGCTGTACAAGACGTGTATTAGTGGAAGGTTTAATATTTACCTCACGTACCACGTTAATAGGCCGTTTATGGGTTAATTGATGATAAGTGCGCCCGTCGTCAGTGGGTTGTTGCTAATCATTTTAACAAAAATAAAAACTGGATACAGCTGGAACACGTTTAGCTCTCCATTATTAATACTGTCTAGAAACTGGTTCCTGGTAACTCACTATCAATGTGATAGACACCAAAGAACGGTGGGGATGAACTTCCAAACCGGAAGCACATTGAGTAGAGCTTGATATTTTATCAGGATAAGAAGCCCGAAATAACATGTCTTGGCTTTTGTCATCCCAGAAATGCCGGTAGAATTTGGCCCAGGTGCTGTGGTAAATCAGCCATCTGGACCAGGTGTCATCAAGGCTGAAACATTTTATCCCATGGACAGTGTTATCCACAGGAAAGCACTATGCAGTTTTGATTAAGCCAGGCCCTGATGCGTGGGCGTGTGAATAGTTTATTTTCATAAAGGTCAAACTGAACAGTCTTGCTAATACCAATACACCGTATTTCTATTTGTTAAATAATCTTGGCATTGATTTGGCCATGGGTGTTTTTTTTTTCCTTTGCTATGTAGTAAATGTGTAGGACTTTACGAGGGGCTATTGGCACTATCTGTGTCATAATTAATCCGATATAAAACATATCAGAGACGCTGATATTGTTTTGTCTTTCAAGTTTAATATTTGTGACCGAAATTGACTTCCTGTTTCAAGTTTACATCTTTTTATAATGGAAAAAGCCTGCAATTGTCTGGCATTGCGCAACACAGGTTTTTTTTAGGAGGGGGGGGGGGGAAGTTTTTTTCTATATCTTAGTGTATTTTACAACCAAGACATACACTGTACAAAATAGTATTTTAAACAATTTTCTAAGTTCTTGAACGTGAGAGTGCAGGCATGCCACATGAATGCCGTGGGATATGACAAGCCATTTTGGTGAACATGTGAACACCAGATTTGTAAAGGCATAATTCAGAAACAGTTTCTGGATATATCGTGGCATCCATTCCATTTGTTATATGATTCGATTTTTATATCGCACGTTTGACCTCTTTGCTTATTTTTCCATGTATTTTCACATTGTTTTTTAAGGTATCATATCTTTTATAAGATACATTGAATGTCTTCTGTGAGATTTTTTTAATAAAATGAGAACTATTTTGTTTGTCCGTATGGCACGTTTGTATGAATCCACTGAATAATGTTAAAGGTTAAATCAGAATTGTGATACCCATTGTTTCTTGTAGGTATAGCATATCCTTTATGTCAAATACAATCAAATTTAATACATGTAGTACTTACTAGTTTGCTACCACTTTATGTGAGAAAAAATTAAACTCGGTTTCAATGAAATGCTTTGGTTCGTTTACCGCTGTGATATTATTCCAGTCTGCTTTACAAAGTGTATTGTTATAAATTGTGATTTACTTTTGGCCTGTAGGCCTGTAATACTGAATAAATGAATTTGAACTCAAAAGTACCTTAAACAAACGAACAATTTGCAATATATTAACATTGATTGCACTGACACGACCCATTTTGATGAAAACAACTCTTTTTGCTAATATATCAAATGTTCAACTGAAACTGCAGCGTTAAATGTCAATATTTCTTCTTCTCTTAATTTGAGTTTGTTGTTTGTGAATAACGTTACAGAAAAATGCAACGCTATACATGTATATATCGAGGGCGGTCCGGTTATTTCAAAATTTGCTATAAATTTTCGTAACTGAATCGCTTTGCAGTTTAATATGCACTTTAATATTAAATATGGGAAAGGTAAAATGAGAAAATATACATGATTGTACAATAGTAACCAAATATAAATATCTTAAAGTGACATTTGCCCCGCATTTTTATCAAACTTTTGAAGGTTATCTCTCTCTTAAGTTCCTCGACCATGGGGTAAACAGTCACATGCCATCTTCAAAATAACCACTTTGTTTAAATTATCTTGAAGATAGATATGAGCTGATTCAACCCAACAAACAATCAACAGGCCGTTATTGTTAGGAACGCTGTCAAATCAGGTTTTTCAGATGATAAAATTCTGAACTGTCTGTCACAGTTATGACCAAACTGTCGACCAAATCCCGCAAAATCGCGCGTGAGACTTTGGAATATCTAGAATAGTGGCTATTAACTACCATTTCTCTGAAGTAGCATTCATTGCCTTCCAATGTACATTTTATGGTATTTATTTGAAAACACGACATTTACATTATTCAAGGGCAAAATGAAGGACAGCAACCAATTAAACGAATTGATAAGAAGTGCATAATTACCAAGATAGACTCATCAATCGTGTGACGAACTTAAGGGTGACAATAAAAGTTTATCTAACAGTGAGACATTGAAATGATAATAAAAATGGATTGCAAATAACTCTGAATTCGTCTGTTATTAAATTAACAATTGTTACAGCTGTGCAGTCGTTATGTCTTTTCTGCGATAATGGTAAGTATGGAAACAAAACGTTCAGTAAATAATTCATTCTGTCTGGGAATTGTTTGTACGGCCGGCTTTCAGTTTATGGCATTCAGTGGCGAAGTGTCAACTTTCCCACAAGTTCACAAAATCGTCAAAGAACATAGAACTCGACCTGTCTGAATACATTGACGACATAATGTCCATTTAACGTTGTTAATGTGCCTGTATAATGTGTCTGGGATTAAAAACAATACAAAACAACAACAACAGGATACATCACACGTGTAGTAAATGCACATGGAGGAGAACAATTCAAGACCAATGGTCAAATCATCGGCAATTAACCCAGTTCAGTTGACCACTGCCCGCACCACTCCTACAGAGAAGTGAGGGATGGACAGGAATGGTGGGACATTAATGAAGACAACAATAGCACATTTGACTTTGATTTATCGTTGTTGAATAATGCATGAAGGACAACTGGTATCTAAGTGGCAATTTGCTTACAAGCTCACAACATTGTCTTCTAGGAAATCTTCATTCATTCATGTGTTCTTTGTCTGTTTCTTCTATTTCTTAACACCACTCGTCCTTTCGATGGGAGAATATACCATTATTAAGTGAAAAAAGGAAACCTCGAGCAATTAAGTATAAGATCTATACATAGATTTGTCAAGTTATTTCTAGACTTTAATGTCTATCTATAGATTTTTACTAAAACAATGATGACGTTGCGACATCCTAAGGAAGACTTCGGAACGTAAGTGAATTTTTATTGCGGAAATGACGTATGTGGCCAGGGTGCTACTCATTGTCCGTATACAGACATTGAAATTCCAGAAATAGCTTTAAAAACAATATGCATATTGCAGCAAATCACATCTATTAGTTGTCTGATAATTTTCATCAACTTAGTATAAAGGCCATGGCTACGAATAGATCATCAGAAGGGTGTTTTTTTTTGCGTCGTATTCAAACCGACTTCAATAGATACATCCGGTGGAAAAACTGCAGTATATGTGATCGAGTTATCTAAATACTATTTTTTTGCTGTTTTTAAATTGTAAGAAATACTAATGTCGCGTTATATATTGATATATTTCACGTTTAGTTGGCGTTTCATTTTCCGTTTCCTTACCGTATTTTTTGTTCTACAAGAAAGGCGCTTTTCCACGATGTGCTTGTATTCCATGCGGTAGCATTATTTAGGAAAGATTTATATAAGATTCCCTGGTATACAATTAAACATAATCAGATTCAACCCAATTTCGGTCTTGATGTGATTTGTGAAAAAAAAACAGTATTGACTATCAACATCCCTAAATGATAAAATATTTGAGATTTTGATAGCATTTAGAAGGTTTCGACTGGAAGCCTTGCAATTGACAATGTGCGTCCGTTTTCTTGCAGGCTGTAAAGAACACGACTTGACAAAGAGGGTTGATACACAGGCCTGTAGCCAGGGGGGGGGGGTCGGGGGTTCAAAAGAACCGCCCCTTTTGCTGGGAAAAGGTCCACTCTGGGTAAAATTTGATCTAGGTGCATCAAGTTTTTATGGAAAAAGGTCCACTTTTTCAGAAAAAGCACCCCCCCCCCCNGAAGCCTTGCAATT